GATCCGGGATTCCCCTGATTGAGAAATTTTTTGGGGATTTCGGGTTTTTTCAAAATCTAAAACCCGCGCCCGAGGGGGTGAAAAGGGTTTTTTAAAAAGGTCATGCTCTCTGGGAAAATTCACCTTTGGCCCGGCTAAGTTTTTCGGGGTTTGGTTTTCCCAAAGGGGGTTTTCCTTTTGAAAACCCAGCTTTGGGTTTTTTCCCGAGGAAGAACATTGTGCTTTTTTGCAATTTGATTGAAATTTGGGGGCTTGTTTTGGCGTAATAGATTCAGAGAGGGCCCCCAAGTCCCCTTTTTGTATTTGCTGTGAAATTTTTGCTGACCAAAGGGGGGGTAAGGGAAAAGGGTGGTATTTGTGCGGGGGTCGGGGGCAGGGAGCTTGCTTTGTATTTATGGAGAAGCGCAAAATTCGTGAGCCCTTTAAAGGGGGTTATGTGGGGAGGGACTTCTGGCTTTTCCCCTTTTTTTTTTTGGGTGGACGGCATAAAAGAATCTCCTGGGGGGGTGATCAACTGAAAAATGGAAAAGTGAATGGGAGGACTATAAACCCAGGGGACCTATAGCGCCCAAAACTAGGTTCAGGGTGTGTAGTACATGGATGTTTGTCCAAACCCATCTGCGTATCACATTATATTGTAAAAAATGATTCAGAAAGCCTTGAAAGGGGTAGATAAGAACATAAAAGTCACAGCAACCAGACCAAAAATTTTCACTCGGGCGTGCAGGATGATAGCACCAGATTCCCAACTCAGGACACGTTGAGAGGAGATGGGTGGGAAAGGATGGGAGGTGAGGCAGTGGGACTCTCGATTCGTGAGCTCATGGCCGCGCTAGGGAGGACACACCTGGGGCAAGTAGTATCAAAGGCCCAGGTAGGCCTCTGGCGCCAGTCAAAGGGCCACAGACAGAGATGATGATGGGGCTCTGGGGCTTGATTAATGTGAGGCCACTCCCCAAATTCACATGTGGTGTTTGGGAGATTCATAAATAACAGGGGATGCCACCTGTACCCCACTCACTGTGACCAGTTAGTAAAAGGGAGCTGCTCCACTGTGATCCGCTGCTGCACGGATGGCAGCGGATTCCGGAATACGGCCGGAGCTCCGGATTATGCGGCCGCTCCGTCGCCATCTTGGACACGCCCCCTTTAGGGATATATCTTAATGTATGTTTATAATTAGCTACTACTCCTGTAAATCCTACTTGAAGGTCCTGGGAAGCACATATGTGAAAGGTATTGACCTCTCTATAGATTATAGACCTATGCAGCTCTTGACATTCTTGCACATAAAATTTCAGAGCCACAAAGGATGTTGTTTCTGCCACACTTCTCTCTGCCATACACTGTAATCAAAAGTCTGAATGGGGAACAGGTAGTTATGTAATGTCCAGCTTGAGTCACTGACGGCAGATAAAATGTGCTCCTACCTTCCAGCCTAGTTCTCCCCTGTACCACACAGAAAAATGGATCTATGTAGAAGTAATATGTTTGGCTGGGTAGCATTAGTTCCTTTTAATTTATCAAAAAAATTAATTTTTTATACTTCTTTAGCATACATCATGTATTATTTAGAAAAGGTTTATAATACTTTTCACCAAAAAGTTTAATTTTAGAATGCAATAAATAAAAAATAAAGTATATATTTCTCCTGTTTATTTAGTGAACACCTAAAATGTATGTTAAATTGATTTGTATTTAAGAATAAATTTCAGGAATTGCCAAATTTCTATTACCAATTAAAGTTTTGCTTGTGTAATATATTCAATTGATATTCTGATATGTGGGATTATATTTAAACCATTGAGTTTTTTTCTTCACGTCATATCACTCCCAACTTCTCAGTTGGTGTTACTGTGTGAATATTTTTCTACTTCAAAGGCTTGGCCATTGTTTTTTTCCCAATCACATCTCACATTGGTTTTAAATAGCAACCTTATTTAGATCCTTGAATCAGGCTGTGCCCCATACACATTTTGCTAGGTTTAGTGACCGATTAACCAGTTCCACTTTGGGCCAATTCTGACATTTGTCTCATACAGTACATGTAAAAAATCAGCATTTTTTGCTAGAAATTGCTAGAACCCTCAGACATATACAGTTCTGCTCAAAAGTTTGCATACCCTGGCAGAAATCGTTAAATTGTGGCATTGAAATTAAAATGATCACACCAAAAAAACTGTCTTTTATTTACGGATAGAGATCATATGAAACACAATTTATCACATAATTGTTTGGCTCCTTTTTACATCATAATGATAACAGAAATTGCCCAAATAGTCCTGATCAAAAGTTTACATATCCTGGAATGTTTGGTTTTGGTACAGACACACATTGTGACACACATGGGTTAAAATGGCAATTAAAGGTTCATTGTCCACATCTGTGGCTTTTTAAATTGTAATTAGTGTGTGTGTATAAATACTCAATGAGTTTATTAGCTCTCATGGGGATTCACTTAGCAGGCTAGATACTGAGCCATGGGGAGCAGAAAAGATCCGTCAAAAAACCAGCATAACATGGTAATGGAACTTTATAAAGATGGAAAAGGATATGAAAAGATATCCAAAGCTTTGAATATGCCAGTCAGTACTGTTCAGTCATTTATTAAGAAGTGGAAATTTCGGGGATCTCTCGATAACAAGCCAAGAAAGAATACAGCCACAACTGCCAGAAGAATTGTTCAGGATACAAAAAAAAAAACCCACAGGTAACCTCAGGAGAAATACAGGCTGCTCTGGAAAAAAGACAAAACTACAAATAGTGGTTGTTTTAACTCCTTGACGCCAACAGTACGCAAATATGTGGCCTCTCGGTGGCTAGGCCTTGTCGCCAAGGGGCCACATATTTGTGTACTCAATGTAAACTAAAGATGTGCCGAGAGTGTGCGCTCTTTGTGCTCCCGGCACATTTCCTGGCACCGCACGGAAAGGTCCCTATCGCTACTTGTGGTCAGGAGCTTTCCTATCATGTGCATCAGTCAATCACGGCAGTCCCATGATCCTAAACCCTGCCCTGCTTCCCGGCATCACAAACCCCTTAAAGGGCCAGGAGGCGCCGGCACCAAGGGGTCAAAGGAGGACAATATGACGACACTTAAACAAAAATAAGCTGCATGATCGAGTTGTTAGAAACAAGCCTTTACTGCGCCAATGCCCCAAAAAAGCCTGGTTACAATATGCCCAATTACACCTTGACACACCTCACCAGGCTCACCAAGTCTGTGTATCTGATTTACTAAAACAAGAATGCATAAGAGAAAATGTGCAATAAAGGTTATGGACATGCTTGTGTCGTGGGCAGTGGCATTGCTAGGGGGGTGCAGGAGGTACGGACCGCACCTGGTGTGACACCTGCCAGAAGGTGGAGAACAAGAGGCAGAACACTTCCCTGAAAACTAGCAACCAATCACCAGCTTGTTAATATGAAAAATTTACTCCAGCAGCTCCCATCTTCTATTCATTGCTGCTGTCTCTCGCTCTGCATACCAAGTAAGGTAGGAAGGGGCAGAGCTGTGGAGGCTATATAATGTGAAGGAGGGGGAATAGCTTCAAGGGTGTCAGGGCTCTGGGTATGACCAGAGGTATGTGAACTGACGCAGGGAAACGCAGGCTTCAGATATGTTATAAACAATATAATTTATTAATACTAACAATACAAAACGCAGTGCAATACTAAAACATAAACAAAGTGCAAACGAACCAAACCAAACCAAACCACCCACAGATAACAATACATACAATGCAAGCGTAGTCAGGCAGGCCGGGTCAATAACAATCGGGCAGGTAGGAACAGGAGGAGCAGGCAGAGAGTAGTCAGGTCACGAGCCGGGTACAGCAACTAACGGGCAGGTAGGTACAGGGGGTCAGGCAGAGAATGGTCGGGGTCACAAGCCAGGGATCAAACAGGAGAAGTCAGCAGAGGTCAGGATCAAGCAGGGTCGGCAACAAGTCAGTCAGGCAGGAACAGGAACAGGAATGCAGGTAACAAGATACAGGGGCCCATGGAAAAAACACACACCAAGGCCCAGACTGCAGGTCTGGCCATCCCTTAAATACACCTCCGTTATCAGCTTCAGGTGTTTGACTGACTGCAGGGTTGAGTCTCTGATTGCTGAGAGCACCCGCTGGCCAGCCCTGGTACTGCAGCCCACAAGGCAGGTGAGTCCCACCATTACTGGCAGGTCCATTCCTGACAGTACCCCCCCCTCAAGGAGCGGCCTCAGGACGCTCCAAACAGTCCTAGCTGGGCAAAATGTTCCACCGCCCGGGTCTGGTAACTGGCGGGATATCAAAGACTGGCACATCGGACAGGACTCCGGGCAGAGGCACATCGGGCTGGACACCGGGCAGAGGCACATCGGGCTGGACTCCGGGCAGAGGCACATCGGGCTGGACTCCGGGCAGAGGCACATCGGACTGGACTCCGGGCAGAGGCAGAGGCACATCGGGCTGGACACCGGACAGAGGCACATCGGGCTGGACACCGGATCACCAGGCGGAACAGCAGGCACCGGATCACCAGGCGGAGCAGCAGGCACCGGGCCACCAGGCGGAGCAGCAGGCACCAGGCCCCCAGGCGGAGCAGCAGGCACCGGGGCCCCCAGGCGGAGCAGCAGGCACTGGGCCCCCAGGCAGAGCAGCAGGCACCGGGCCCCCAGGCAGAGCAGCAGGCACCGGGCCATGTGGCACTGGATCGTCTGGCTCGACAGCGGGCATCGGGTCACCAGGCATGACAGCGGGCACTGGGTCATCAGGCATTGGATCGTCTGGCTCGACAGCGGGCATCGGGTCACCAGGCATGACAGCGGGCACCGGGTCATCAGGTTCCGGATCGTCTGGGTCGACAGCGGGCATCAGGTCACCAGGCATGACAGCGGGCACTCGGTCATCAGGTACCGGATCGTCTGGATCGACAGCAGGCACCGGGTCATCAGGCATTGGAACGTCTGGCTCAACAGCGGGCATCGGGTCACCAGGCATGACAGCGGGCACTGGGTTATCAGCCATTGGATCGTCTGGCTCGACAGCGGGCATCGGGTCACCAGGCATGACAGCAGGCACTGGGTCATCAGGCATTGGATCGTCTGGCTCGATAGCGGGCATCGGGTCACCAGGCATGACAGCGGGCACCGGGTCATCAGGTTCCGGATCGTCTGGGTCGACAGCGGGCATCAGGTCACCAGGCATGACAGCGGGCACTCGGTCATCAGGTACCGGATCGTCTGGATCGACAGCAGGCACCGGGTCATCAGGCATTGGAACGTCTGGCTCAACAGCGGGCATCGGGTCACCAGGCATGACAGCGGGCACTGGGTTATCAGCCATTGGATCGTCTGGCTCGACAGCGGGCATCGGGTCACCAGGCATGACAGCAGGCACTGGGTCATCAGGCATTGGATCGTCTGGCTCGATAGCGGGCATCGGGTCACCAGGTATGTAACAGCGGGCACTGGGTCATCAGGCATGATAGGATCATCAGGCTGGATCAGTTCATCAGGCTGGGTACAGACATCAAGCTGGGTAGAGACATCAGGCTGAAGTGCGGGTGCCGAGGCACCAGGCTGAACCACGGAAGGCAGGTTCTCAGACAGCAGGCTGACCGGTTTGGATACTGGCAGGATGGTACTGGTTGGAAAGAATTTTTGCTTTTTTCTGGTTTTAACTACTGGAGCACTGCAAGTAAACGCAGGTCTGCAAACAAATGTAGCAGCTGAGGACAGAGAAGAGCTGGAAGATGGAACAGAGGAGGGAGCAGCCGCCACAGAGGACCTCTCCACAGGGCCAAAGAAAGGATAGGTGCAGCGAGTGGGAGCAGGGGACTGGTATGTGGTAGTTAGCAGAGTATACTGGCCGTCACTGGGGGTGCTGTCGGGGATGCAGGAAGAGTGCCTTGAGCAGAGGAATGACATTGCAAGCTGACTGAGGCTGGGTGCAACAAGTCTGACCATGTCTGCAGTATGGGTTGAACAAAGCTGAGCTTACACAAAGCCTGTCTGGTCAAAGACTGCACTGCGTTTATACAATCCCTTAATACCTGTGGTGAACATGCAGCATAATGCTCCAAGAAGCAATCCACATCATCCTCTAATAACCATACCAGGAACTCTACCTGGTCTGCACTAAATGGTGGCAAAAAGTCATTCCTGCTTTCAGGGGTACCAGATGAAGCCAACTCTACACAAACCTGAATCAAAGGTTGCACCTCAGAGAACTCTGTGCCCTGATCTACTAGAACATGAGTGATCCGTATACATTCTAGCAGTTGATCCCCGGGTATACTCCCTCAGAGTCTGATAAGCATATTCTCTGTCATCAAAAACCAGCAGCGACAAATACACAACCTCGTCAAGATCCATCCTTCCCAGCAAACAAGCCAAGATGGCTTCCCTGTGCAGCCACTTCTGGTCAGGATTGGCCTTGGTGTAATGTCAGGGCTCCGGGTATGACCAGAGGTATGTGAACTGACGCAGGGAAACGCAGGCTTCAGATATGTTATAAACAATATAATTTATTAATACTAACAATACAAAATGCAGTGCAATACTAAAACATAAACAAAGTGCAAACGAACCAAACCAAACCACCCACAGATAACAATACATACAATGCAAGCGTAGTCAGGCAGGCCGGGTCAATAACAATCGGGCAGGTAGGAACAGGAGGAGCAGGCAGAGAGTAGTCAGGTCACGAGCCGGGTACAGCAACTAACGGGCAGGTAGGTACAGGGGGTCAGGCAGAGAATGGTCAGGGTCACAAGCCAGGGATCAAACAGGAGAAGTCAGCAGAGGTCAGGATCAAGCAGGGTCGGCAACAAGTCAGTCAGGCAGGAACAGGAACAGGAATGCAGGTAACAAGATACAGGGGCCCATGGAAAAAAAAACACACACCAAGGCCCAGACTGCAGGTCTGGCCATCCCTTAAATACACCTCCGTAATCAGCTTCAGGTTTTGGCTGACTGCAGGGTTGAGTCTCTGATTGCTGAGAGCACCCGCTGGCCAGCCCTGGTACTGCAGCCCACAAGGCAGGTGAGTCCCACCATTACTGGCAAGTCCATTCCTGACAAAGGGGGCTGTGTAATTTGAAGGTTTTTTTTTTATTATAAAGGGGGCTGTGTAATGTGCAAGGGGGCTGTGTAATGTGAAAGGGGTTGTGTATTGTACAGGGGCTGTGTAATGTGCAAGGGGGCTGGGTAATGTGAAAAGGGTTGTGTAGTGTAAAGGGGGCTGTGTAATGTAAAGGGTGGTTTTTGTAATGTAAAGGGGCTGTGTAATGTGCAAGGGGCTGTGTAATGTGAAGTGGGCTGTGTAATATAAAGAAGTCCAGAGGTGCGGGGGACTGTGTAATGTAAAGGGGGCTGTGTAATGTAAACGAAAATGGGTAATGTAAAAGGGGTTGTGTAATGCGTAGGGGGCTGTGTAATGTGAAGGGGTACCAGAGGTGCAGAAAGCTGTGTAATGTAAGGGGGATTGGAGGTGCAGAAAACTGTGTAATATAAGGGGGGGGGGGTCAGAGGTGTAGGGGACTGTGTAATGTAAAGGGGGCTGTGTAATGTAAACGGAGCTGGGTAATGTAAAAGGGGCTGTGTAATGTGTAGGGGACTGTGTAATGTAAAGAGTTTCAAAGGTGCAGGGGCTGTGTAATGTAAATGGGGTTCAGAGGTGCAGGGGCTGTTTAATGTAAAGGGGTCCAGAGGTGCAGGGGGCTGTGTAATGTAAAGGGGTTCAGAGTTGCAGGGGCTGTACAATGCAAAGAAGTCCAGATGTGCAGGGGGCTGTGTAATGTAAAGGGGTTCAGAGGTGCAGAGAGCTGTGTGATGTAAGGGGGGTTAAAGGTGCAGGGTACTATGTAATGTAAAGGGGTCCAGAGGTGCAGGGTGCTGTGTAATGTAATGGGGGGTTAAAGGTGCAGGGGCTGTGTAATGTAAAGGGGTCCAGAGGTGCAGGGAGTTGTGCAACATAAAGGGGTTCAGGGGCTGTGTAATGTAAGGGAGGTCAGAGGTGCAGGGGCTGTGTAATGTAAAGGGGGTTTTCCTGCATTTTACTCACAGCTATAGCTGCAGTCCTATAGATTTCTATTAGGTTGCACATTTTTTTCCTACATTTTCTGAAAGCACATCAAAAGTCCCACGTGCTGCATCTTTGGTGCACTTTTAGAAAACAGGAAATAAATATTGGGGGGGGGGAGTGACACCATGTTTCACAGGTCCAGGTGATACCAACCCTAGTGATGCCACTGATTGTGGGCTCATATGAATATGCCAGTTCACACAACCCTCTCTGACCTGGTAAAGTGTACACTGCAATACCTGTTTCTCTGTAGCAACCAATCAGCATTGGTGAAACCACCTCCACTTTAGAGTATTTCTTCCTTTTCAATGGGACACAAAAAGCTGTTCCTTATCTTCTTGTTTTTACAAAGGCATAGGACCTTTGACAGCACAAATTAAATTAAATACTGTTTTGACATACAAGGATTTCAAGGATTGCTTTTTACAGACAGCATACTCACCATGATTAACAAGCTACCGTATTACTGTCCCCACCACCTGTCTTGATATAAAAATATTAAATCAAGCTCAGAAGCTCTTTCTACTAATATCATCTCAGCAGCTACAATTGTTTATGTCAGGAGGCAAGATGCTATGGTACATCTGTCATTCTTTCATGTGACTTATTATGTAAACAATGTTTAACAGACCTTCACTGAAATATAAGACTTGTTATACTTCAACTCTCCTCTCTTTCAGTTACATATTTTCAGACATTTTTTTATTTGAACAAGTACTTTTTATTTTGGTTGGTGCTCTGGTCCACTTGCCCTCTATTCCTGTTCAGGGGACAACTCAACATTTGGGAGTTTTGATTTGGAAACTGACTGCCATTCTCTGATAACTCAGATGAGTTCCAAATCCAAGATGGCCGTACTTCAGCAACCATCTTTGATTTGGGAGTCAGCTGTCACTTCCTGATCACTCAGTTGGCTCCTAAATTCAAGATGGAGAAGCAGAAGAAGAAAAAGTTGTGAACACTTCAGGTTGTAGGGAGACAAAGATGGATTCTATGGGCTGGTCAGTTTCTGTTTTTTTTTTTTCAAACTTTCACAGGTCATGTGCATTGCTTTGGCCAATCACAGCACAATACACTGTGACTGCCATGATTGGCCAAAGTCACAGTGACTTTGGCTAATCATGGCTCACAGCTAAGTCCACCCCCCCACACTATATAAGGCTGCTTACACTGCTGAAGATGGAGGGGAGAATACTTTTCCCGAAAAAAAACAAACAAACAAACAAAAATTTAAAAAAGGAAACAACGTGTATTCCCCCCAGCCGGTGTAGACAATGGCCTCATTCCCACAACCTTGGCCCGGTGGTTGTGGGGGTCTGTGGGCAGGGGGACTTTTGAAAAATCCTTTATTTAATTCCTTGCCTTGTCAAAAACTGTTGTTTTGTTTTTTGTTCAATTAAAAGAATTTTTCAAAAGTCTGGTGTCTTTATTTTTTCTAAATGTAACCCTTTAGTGAATGGGTACCCCTTACTCATTCACAAGGGAGGCAGCACTGACAATTAGAGTTAGAGCATCCATTAAATCGGCCATCTGGTGCCAAAACTAATTTTGAACATGCACATGCGTCTACACACACACAGTGAAGAAACTGTAAAACTAATAACTATCAACAAGTCTATCTGCAGAGCCACAAGTAAAGATATGCCAGCTAGTAAACAGGAATTCCCTGATACCTACCAATTACAATTCCCAAATCCAACCAACAAAAACTATAGGCAATCCCCCTTTTTGTACTGAAATAACAAGAAACAAGGTGAATCTTGGATAAAATTGTGTGCATTTTGTCGACAACATAGACCCCTTCTACTGGCCAATTTTAAACTGCTGTATCTTCTGCAGTTTCTTAATCCTTGTAGTAAAACACTTGCCTTTGCTTTTTGTCTTTAGTAAATTTAAGCCTAGCCTTGTGTGTTAAAATTACTCTGCTTCTGGTCAATTTTACACTACTATACCATCTGCATTGTCTTAATTCTGTATTAAAAACCCAGTCTCAGATCTTTGTCACTAGTAAATTTGGGCCTGGTCCTACTCATTAAAAGTTTACTGTTGCAGACCAATTTATATGCAATTTTTATGCTGCTGTATGATCTGTGATATCTACATTGCAGTAAGACACCTGTTTGTCAATACATTTTGTGCAATTCTCCATCATTAAAGATGTCCTGCTGCAATTTTTCTAGTGTTATATTATCTTAAATCTTTTAATTTGTAATTAGAATATGTTATACATTTGTCAACAGAAGGACAGCATTGCATTGGTGAGAATATAGACAGCCTCAGGGTCTAGTACTGCTTGAAGAAAAAGCACCACTGTTAAACTACATGAAAAATGCATTTTCCCAAGCTGGAATGAATCAGACTGGGGGTGTTGCTGTTGTAAACAAGTCAAGAAAAAAAACAATTCCATAGCCACGAACAAAGGCTGCCAGAACATGCTGGCGCTGGCGGTAAAAACCATACTGTTCCATAGCACTATGTACTGTACAGTTTGTAG